CCCCAAAACCCCAAAACCCCAAAACCCCAAGAACTAACAATAATTATTTTTGGAAATAATATGCACAGGAATCTTTCAGTTGACGAGATCAGAAAAATACTTGCCCCTGGAAAGGACAAAGAGATGGCTGAAGGCATCATGCCTCAATTTGACTGTCCTCCACCTCATTATGATGAGGTGCCAACTGAAGAGAAAGGGTGGAACTACTTTGCAAAGTGAGTTATTGGCTGAAAAAGGTAAGTACAAAGCTGTCTAATAACTCATTCTATCCTTGAGTCTGACCATCCCATTTGCTAATCAGCTTCTAGGACTGGCATTAAGCATGCCACACACTGGAAGCAAAAGGAAATTCAGTGGAAGCGGCAAGAGTTTTTAGGAATTATTCCCTCAACAGGATTTCAGATAAAATAAACAGAAAACTAAAAGACAAACTGTCAATCTTGACTTTGACTTAGACCGAAGGAGCAAAGCCAAGAGAGAAAGTTTTATTGTTGGCAGGAAGCATGCATTTAGCATCAAGGACAAGAGAACTTCTAGCAGGACAAAAATTAACGATTTTGAATTGAAAAGAGATAGTAGTGCTGATTTTAACTCTCATAGTCCTTCATCAAAACGGACTGAGAGTAAAAGCCAGTTCTTGAAGGCAGCCAACGGTATGCACTCTTAGTCAAATTTAGACATTTTGGCACTCACCCATTTTATAGAGAAGAGAAACTCTGTCAAGAAGGATCATCTTGACTCCCGCAGATTGCTAATGCGCAAAAGAAAAAGGCAAAAATCTCAGATGTCGAAAAGGTTAAAACGCTCGTTGTTGAGGATGAGTTCTCAGAGACAATTTCCTTATAAGAATACCAAAAAGAGCCAAATTTTAATTAAGAGAAATAAATGAAAATATTTGATCAAATCTGCTCTCAAAAGGAGCAGGTATAGCTGTAAGAGTAGGAAGAGGAGCAATGAGGCGTCAAGTATGGCCTGTTCTCTTAAGCTTTAGATTGTCTTGCACTACAAAATCCATATCAGAACTTGCAGGTTAAGGACCAGATAAGCGCCAAGAAAACCACTCCTAAGAATTTTCCAATAAAATTGTGAGTGTGTTCTTCTTAACATCTAATAATGGATTTAGGCCAAATAGAGAAGATAAGAATACTACCTTGAAAAAGCAACTTCTAGCAAAGACCCCTGGGCTCCCATCACATCGGTCTATTTCTTCGATACAAATAGGTAGGTCTACCTTCATGTCATGACTCTTGGTTTGGAGATTGTATTTATAATGTCTCAGTAGCTGTCTCATGAGGCACAATCTATATTCTTCTAGCGGCATATCTCATTACAGTCGCTAAATATACAGTTTAGATTTGAATTGGTTGAAAGATTACATCTTAAACATCAAAAGTTTATTTGAAGTCCAAGAAAATCTGATACTGAAATCTTAAGAAACTGTTAACTATGAAACGAAGGTCAACTACTTTTCATGATTGTTTAAGCTAGAGACAAACGAAGTCCTTACACAAAATTTGTATTATTTAACCTAAGAGAGGTCCTTAGTCTATAACTAGGGTCTCCATCTGATTTTGGAGGTACTAATATGTGTATAGTTAAGGAGAAGCACAGAAAAGTGATAGAAATTTCAAATAATGTATCCAATATCAGAAGTAGAGTAAGCCGAATGAGTAAAATATCCTCTATATTTAAGAACCACCAAGTTTTATGCTCCTTAGAATCTGTATTAAAGCCCAAATGCCCATAATTTTTAGCAGATCTAACCATTTTTAACAAAAATTTAGATCCACAACTTAAAAACTCCAAAAATGAAGAAGACAAACTTCACTTTCAAGCAAGGTTTGGTTCCTTTCTCACCTTCTAGAGCCTGAAATCACCAGTTTCAAGCATAAGATAAGACTTAAAGAGATCGAAGACCACATTGAAACCATCGTTCAGAAACATAAATAGCCTAAAAATCGCACTTATCAAACTAAAATTTCAACTAAAATCCTCTTCAGCGGGGTTTTGGGGTTTTGGGGTTTTGGGG